AAGCTTCGCGCGGAGAATCGGGGGCTGCTGGGACCATCCCGGTTCTCCCCGGGAGGACATGTGTCTGTCACCATCCCACTTCCCCAGAGCAAGGGGGGCCCCAAGGAGTAGCCGAAGGCGGGCAGAAGCAAGTTCCTTTAACATCTTGCTTCACTTTTGAGAGCTACTTGATTTTTTTTGATTTTTTTTTTTTTTTATAAGAAGACAAAACTCGAAATGAAGCAAGCACGCAAGGCTCTGGCTTCGCGTGCCCCGTAATAAGGAACCATTTCAAGCCATCCTAATGACAGCTTGCTGTCTCGCTGCGGAGATGGGAGAGCCGGGATTTCAAAACCTCAGATTTTCCAGACCTCACTGGAGAAGTATTGGGCCAAATCCTCAACGGGGGCAAACGGCTCTGCTCTGCTGAAGCTGGGGAAGCAGCATCAGCTGATGCTGAGGGTCTCCCTGTCCCACCTCCCGGGCTGTAGGGCCAGACTCTCATCACAGATACGCTGGGGTGAACTCAGGATTACCCTATCTTCCCCCCAAAGCAGTGGAAATGGGAACGAAATCTGGTCTGTGGAGGGATGCAAACGTCTGTCCCGTTTGCAGACAGGCGTGGGAAGGGATTGATTCTCCGCCCCTCTGCTCGGGGTAAAGTAAGACTGAAGCCACCGAAATACACTGACACCGGGTGGTGGGAAACCAGCGGGAGAGCAGGATCTGACCCGCTCGGCCGCGGTGCTGAGCACGCTCTCCTCCCATGTTTCCTGGCATGCCCTTCAGAAACGATCGGTTTTCTCTTACCGGGAGGTTTTTGGTTTGAGACCATTTAACCTCAGGATGATCGTTTTACATGGGGGCTATTTATAACCTCCAGGGGCTGCTTTACTGAAAGTCTTCTGCAAAACGGCCGAGGGCCAGATTCTTCTCCCATTTACACCAGGGTCCTTGGCGTGATCTCCACTGCGGCCACAGCCTTCGCTCCCGGGGAGGAAAGACTGGACTGGGCCAGAGCAAACACATCTCCAAAAGACCCCGATTCCTCCCAAAGATCAACGCTGTCTCCTGCATGTCTGTCTGCTTCAAAGCCCAAACCCCACGTGCTGTGTTCGGGGATTTGAGGTGCCTGAATCCCCCCCCTCGGTGACCGAGGCTGTTTCTGAGCATCTCAGCTCCCCAGCCTGGTTTTGCCAGAAGCGGATTAGGAAGCGTTTGTGCAAACTGCTCGGTCAGCAGAACCGGGAGGCCAACCACCTCCGGCGCGCGAGCGAGCGGAGGGCTGCTGGGCGTAGGTGCTCGCGGAGGGAAAACCTGCCTCGCCACGCTCCCCAGCCCCCCTCTCACCCGGGAACAGGGATGCAGAGATGCTCAAAACATTCAAGTTGGGAAGCACCCAGGTAAAGGATGGCAGGGGCCGCGTGAACTCCAGCCTGCCCTTTTCGTCCCTCCTAACCGGTATCTCCTTATGCTTTCTGCTAATCGGCTTCTTGTGTGTGTTACCTAAGAACGTGCCAAGTCGTGAGAATTACAGGCCTGTTAACTCCTGTGTTGTTCTTGGCACGGGCCGGGCTCCACTTGCTCGGGTAAAAATTATGATCTTTGTGAATAAGCTGTGTGTGTGTGTGAGAGAAAGAGGGTTTTTTTATATTATTACTATTATGATTGGTTGCAGTCAGCATCGTGTCAAAAGGACAGGGCTGAGATTAAAATTACTGAGCTGATTCTGCTCCCAGTTACACTGGTAAGAACCCGCAGTCATTTTAAGACAGTTCCTCCAACTTGGGAACGAGGGAGCCAAGAGCAGAGCGTGCACGAACTGCCTTTTGCAGCATTCCTGGTACTCTGGATTCACTCCGCAGGAACGATTTTAGATGGCTAATTTTGTGTGTCTCCACTCCTGCTGTCACTTGACATTTGGGAATTTGGCACGGACAGTAGCTTGTGGCCAGTTTCATTTTTTT